GCTTGCATATTTTTGCAACTCCATACTAAGAAAATAAATAACCTAATTAAAAATGGGCAAAGTATTTAATCGGTAATTTATCAGAAATAGAAACGATAATATGTGAAAGGATGCTCAGCAACATGTGGTCTCCAGGACAAGAAACAACAACAGAGCTTAAAAATGAAAATATATTTGACGATATTTTACATCTGCATCAGAAATACTGGCTGCAATTCAAGAGCAAATAGATGCCACGGGATAGACTGAAATTCTTCCAAAATTAGGTAAGATGTTGAAAACATATGAAATAGAATTTAAAAGACATATATTATAAATACATATATTCCAATATTTGACTAAATGCTGCTCCAGAGCACAAAATAGAATGGAGGGGAAGCAATAAGAAATATTACATAGGAAGCGACGTTTCCTCCACTTTCAAATGGAGGAAGAGTTCCCAGCTGCTGAGAGTGGACCTGCTGCCCTGCCGGACACTGACGTTTTTAGTGTCTATGCAAGTGCACAAACACGTATTAGGTGAGGCTTATGTCCAGTTCTATCCTCTGTGCCAGGTGAGGAATGCAGGAAGAAGAAAGCCATCATCCCGTCCTGGAGCTGGGAACGCAGGTTGCACAGAAAAGTCTTAAGGGCCAGCAGGTCTATGTCATCGTTTCCCTCCGCAGCTGTGCGGTCTGTGGGTGGAGAAGGACAGACCCCGGGTTAGGGGAGGAGGAAGAGGAGGAATACCGTTTCTCCCGAACTGTGTACACAGATTCTCCACCAGGGGGCGCATCACTTCCCACCCTCCTCCTCCAGGGACGCTTGAAAGGGTGTGATCGTGCCGCTGTTTTTCCTCTTCCACAGCGAGGTGGGCTTCGACTGTTTAGCGGGAGACCTACAGGCGTAGTGACATTCCTAAAAGGAACAAGGTGGTCCCGCATTGTAAAGAAATATCCCACCTGAAATGCCATTTGTGCCCCTGTTGAGAAACACAGAAATCCTCGTGGTAGTTTGGCGTTTTGAGAACTTCCTGTCACTGCCACATCCCACGGAAGAGCGAAGCGCTCAGGTGTTTTACCTGGAGTCCCTGGGAGACTCGTTCCGGCTACGCCAGGCTTCGGCCAGCAAAGCGCCCATCGCGAGCATGACGAAGGCCGACACACCCAGTCGGACGAGGTTACCCGCGGTGTAATCGGCTGACGCGGTCCCTGCGGGAGCTGGAAGAAAGAGGGGCCTCAGCGCGGGCCCTAAAGGACCCCCCCTCTCAGGCGGACCTGCCAAGTCTGCCTGTCGCATGCGCGCTTGCATTCCTGGCCAGGGTCAGCGGTACCTTCCTTGAACTGCTAATTACCGAAGACAGAACAAGGGGTTCCACCAGGAGTTGGCGTGGGTGTTCCTTCATGTTCTTTGTATTCTCTGACTTTTCTCTCTTCCTTCAGCAATTTCCCCTTCATCCCATCGCCGCCTTCCCACGTTTCCTCCCCACTCCCGGCCCCTCCATCTACGAGGAGGCGCAACGCGAAAGGTCGAAGGGGGACCGGGCGCGGCGCGGGCGGAGGAAGGGGCCGGACTGGAACCGAGTGCCCGAGCCTTTTCTGCCAAGAGGAAGGAGGCCACTGAGCGACCGGCTCAGCACGCCCACGCTCGGGAGCAGCGGGAGAGAGTGAGGAGAAGAAGTTACGAAATCCATTCCTGGAGGCCCCGCTTCTGCTTTTGGTTCCTCATTTGATGAAGAAGAGTTTTGTTGGCAGGAAACCCTTCAAAGCATCGTTGGGAGTCAAATGTGGAGTTCATGACTTACGTGCCAAGTGAAATTTCCTTTAGGGGCATGTTTCTAGAAGGATCCAGCCTCCCTGCTCCGTGAAGGGTAGACATCTCTCAAGAAAGGACCTGCCTGGCCTTTGGGAAACCGGGTTCGGAAATCCAGGGCTAGGGTGGCCCATCAGAGCCTGCAGCCACCCACCATGGGGCGCCAGGAGCCCCGGAAAATGAGTTCAGTTTGGCAACCACTCATTCAGTTAAGCCGGGAAACCACAGTGGCCGGTGGCTGGGGTAGGGTCAGATCAGGGCTCCAGCTGTCTGACCTTGTGCGCACCCGGTGAGTTCAGGAGACCCGGTCGCGCGCTGCTGCAGCTTGTGGGCCAGCCTCTACTCCCCCCCGGGCCGGCCCGGTTCCCCGGCCTTGGGGGGGCCCGGTTTTGGAGTTGGGGCGGCGGCCCTTTCCCCGGGGTCACGAGCACCCGTTCCCGGGGGATCTGCGCCAGAGCTGGGACTGGCGAGAAGTGGGTGGTGCCAACGACGCCAGCATCACTGGGAATCGGCGCATCCCTCCCTGCCGGGGCTCCCGGGGCCCACGGCAGCACCCGCGCCTCAGCAGATGGGGCGACACCCACCAGAGGGGCGCGTGGCTCCACCCTGCCGTCGGGGCAGCGCGTCCTCCACGGCGGAAACGCGGCTCCTGCGCGGGGGTGGCGGGGCGAGACCCACCGCCGGGCATCTGGGACCAGGCCCGCAGCAGCTGCTGGGCCCAGACCGGGAGTGCGACAAGTTAAACCAAGGTGGGTGACAGGTTCAACCAAGGTGGGACGTGTGCTGAATTCAGAGTGTCCCCGCGCCATCAGGAACGACACCCTCTGGAGAGTGGGTGACTGTGGCTTCCTCTCCGGGAGGGGGAAGGGGATGGCAGCAACCGAGGCAAATGGTCCCACCAGCTGTGGTGGGAGGGCGGCAGAAAGGATGCGAACCGCACCGAGGCATCCACGCGGAATAGCGCGACGACGCCCACGTAAACCACGTCGTTTCCGCGGCTGACCGGGGTGTGGTCCATGGGTCTGTAGTGGATTGTCCTGAATTCGCGGGGTGAACCACGGGGCAAGAGAAGCCGGGTGAGGACAGTGACCAGCCCCCATGAGGAGCGGAAGGGCTCCAGGTGCAACCTTGCTATCAGGAGGCCTGTGCATTTGGGGACCCCATCATTTAGGGCCGTGTCTCTGGAGGAGCAGTTCTTATTAACAGAGAAGTGGTGTCCTGGACCATGACCGCAGGGGACCCTACGGTTCCGTCACCAGGCTGGTTGGCGGGAACCGGGGTGAATACTGAATATCCATGTTAGACGGCGGGGAACACACTGAACACCTGGAGGGGGCGCCACCAACATGAGGATAGGCACTGGCTGAGAGAGCATTCCTGGGAGAGGAGCTGAAATGGGATGGCTCCGCCCCCCCAGGACTAAGGTTGGCCGCCTGGTGAGGGCCTGATCCCCAGGACAGGAAAATACCAGGCCCCAATTTTCTGCAGTAGAGGGCTTGGTATCTCGAATTTGGCAACAGCGGCATTTGAGAGGTAAAACGGTTCTGAGGTATCACCGTCCTTGCCTGTCTTTGAAGTCGGTGGGGTGGAGAGAGGGAGGCGGCAATTTCAGATTGTCCAGGTAAAGAGTAAAATATCTGACTCACACACACACACCACTGAAATTCAGTGGCTGGCTCAGCATCCAATACAACGTTTGACTTTATGCACGCGACGAGCTTTAAAAAGGTGGAGTTTAGCAGCTATGTATCTGGGAAATTGTGCATTTCCGCTTCAGTCAAGAAAGGCTTATGCTTGGCAGTGGCCCTGGTTCTAAAGAGAAACCGACATTGACACCCTCCCACCTGGCACATCCCAGTGACTGCAAAGTTCTCTCTAAACCCGGCAGCAACAACGCCCCCTGTAGGCAAAATTCACAGGGAGACAAACGCAGTGATGCCACCGTTACAGGAAGGGGGAGCCCTCTCCTCCTCTCGACACTGACCATGTAGTACTTCATTTCTAATCGTAAAGCATTCACTGGCTGTATGGGAAGAGTAAACAGCAGCGATGGGAATTTCAGCTCTTAGGAGTAGAACATGCAGCGTCCAATAGAGCAGAGTCTGGCTGGGAATAAGAAGGCAATTTTAGAAGAATCTAACAGTAAACGCCACGAGATATGAGTGGATACGCTGTTCATGACACAGAGGCAGAAGGCTGTTCTCAGGATGAGAAAGAATTGCTGGAAATAAAATCACTAATGCCACAATAAATCGAAATTTTAAGAGAGGCAGAAAAGAGTAGAAGGAGGTGTGCTGACGGGTGGATTCCTAATTCCGAAGGACAGCGTGGGACGTTATGCAGGACTACAGGACAAGACTGGCACAGGGGTGGGACTCACACAGGGAAAGATTCGAAAAGGTGGCCGTGCAAATAATAAACAAGCAAGCATTGAAAACAGAACCGATGCTCTCTGCGTAAATAAGAACAATTCTAAAAATCAAAAAAAGTACCTGTCACCAAGATCTCGAGATAACTGCTCCGGTAGGAGGCCCAGAAAGGGGCAGTGGTCTGGTAGTACCCGCAGCTGTAGTTCCCAGAGTCACCAAGTGCCATGTTCTGGAGGGAGAACTCCACCTCGCTCCCTTCTGAACTCTTTTCCTGTATGGGCCACGGCGTTCCTGCCTTCAGCAGAGCAAACATTTTAAACCCAGTCACGTGGGCTGGCTTCTGGCACCACAGAGTCACCTTTTCTCCAGCGGTCACCTTAGGACTTCCGTGGACACGGAGGGAAGGCTTAGGTAAATACCCTGTAAGAGAAGGAAGGTCACGAGGAGAACCCTGGGTCCTCCTCGGCTGCGGGTCTCCCGCAGGAAGAATCGACAGCAGCAAAGGGAATCTGCATGGCTGGGCGGGGGGAGGCGTGTAGCATCCGGTGACGCAGAATTCGAGCAGGAAACAAGATCATTTCAGAGGAAGCCGAACAGCATGTGCCAGGAGAGGCGAGAAGATACTGCTCTATGACGCAACGGCGCGCAGCCGTGCAGACACCACGTCTGGAAATGATTGCTGGGAATAAAATAACTAACACCGAGATCAACCAGAGTTTTAACTGATGCACAGAGTCATGGAAGGGATTCGGCTGATGGTGGGATTAATCGTGTTGAAGAGCAACATGGGAAATTATCCAAGAATGCAGGGCCTGAAAAAGGCAAGGGAGTAGAAATCCTAAAAGAGAAGATTTATAAAGGGATGATAGTGCAAGTGATGAAAAAATAATAAGGGAATAATTAAACAAATTATCTCCCATTAAAAAAAAAAAACACCTCCTAAAAATCATGCAAAACCTTACCTATTACCCAGATCGCAAGATGATCGCTGGGGTTCGAGGCGTGGAAAGGGGCCATTGTCTGATGGTACACGCAGCTGTAGTTCCCAGTGTCACCGACTCTCACCTTCTGGAGGGAGAACTCCACCCTGTTCCCTTCCGAACTCTTTTGCTGTATGGGCAGTGACGTTCCCGCCTTCAGCAGAACAAACATTTTATATCCACTGAAATGGTCTGGCTTCTGGCACCACAGAGTCACGTTTTGTCCTATAGCCACCCTATGACCTCGATGGGCTTGGAAGATTGGTTTAGGTGAAGATCCTATAAGAGAAGGAAGGCTCTGGGGTTGTGGGGTGAAGCCTGGGGTCCCCCACTTGCCCTCGTTCTCCTGGAGTGGGAGTCAGTCAAGGGGCTCTGACCTCCTCCCAACTCCAGGGCGGGGCTCTTCCAACAAGCCCTGGATAAACCCGGGCATTTGATTGTGATCCTGTCTCTCTCCCTCGCCCCCACCAACTACTCTGGAAATGGAACCCACTCTTCCCTCCCTTCCTCTGCTTCCTCCCTCATCCCTGTCCCCCCACATCATTCAAAGGCGCCCCCTCCTCACCTGTAACCAACAGCAGAAGGACATCACTGCGCTGTGACGTTGTGGAGGGGACCTTTCGTCTGCTGTACTCACAGGTGTACCTTCCGGCATCGCTGGGCTGTAGGTCAGTGAGGTGAAATTTAGCCAGGCCCTGCGCAGAACCAGGCGGCATCGAGGACCTCAAAATAGTTCCTCCCTTTCTGAGAGCAAAGATCACGTCCCTGGCAGGAGCTTGGCATCGCAGTGTCACGCTGCTGTTGGCAGGTACCACCGAGCTGGGCCAGGCACCGAGGGAGGGCTTGGGCAGCGAGTCTGGAAGGAAGCAGAGCCCAGGGCCGGGTCTGGCTCGCTCACCTGCTCTCAGGACCCGTTTAAAGAAAGGGAAGGGAAATGGGGGAGGGGGATTTGGGATGAGGGATCAAGGAGGGTTTAATTGCAGAAATACTCACCTTGTTTTGTTACGTTTCTTTGGCCAGCACAGAACCCTGTAAAAGGATCATCATGAGAGACAAGCACCTGCCTGAAGCCAACAGGTTTGGCCTGCCCTGACCCCTGGGGACACCCCAGAGGCTCCTGCTGAGAACAGACTCCTGGAGGTCGTGCACTCAGGAGTTCTCGTTGTCCCCACGCTGGACTGCGGCTCCAGCTCCTGTCTCAGCCCTTCCACCGTTCTCAGCGATTCTCCTGAGCCATCTTGCGTCCCTCTCACCTACACATGCTCCAGGTCCTTTCTCGGTCCCACAGATATGCCAGAAACCCTTCCACTCACATGCTCTGTCACAAACCAGCCCAAGACAGGCCAGTCCGACTGTTTGTACTGGTGTCTCTGTTTCATGTTCTCCCCCCGGGGGACCAGGCGCTAACCACACGGGAGACTGCCCAGCCCTGGGGAGTGAGGTGCCCTCGTTTAACCCCCGATGAAGTCAAGACTTTGGAAATCTCGTACAGTTTCATCTGTGGTAGAGTAAGCACCAAAGGCTGCTTGGTGCCTTGAGTGACATAAATTAAGACAGAAACAATTTAGTTATAAAATCTTAGAGTTTATAAAAGTCTGTTTATCTCCTAACATGGGAGATGCAAGATGTCACTACCTGTGAGCCCCTGGGAGGGGGGGATTCTGTGCCATTCACCTCGGCACCCCCTACACAAGTCCTGGTGCATAGTAGGACTTCAACAGATCCTACTCACTGTCTGATGAGATGGCCAAGTTTAAGCGTGACTCAGAGAGACCTTACCAGAAAGATAAAAGATGCAAACTTACAGGACCTTCATTTCTTCCTCCCAACCCCAAAATGACACCATAATCATCCGTATCCATTAGCTTGGGTAAGGATTTTGCTGAAAGGTGGAAGCAGCCTTTTCTATAGAAAGGGCTAGTTGTGACCATCTTAGCTCTAGTCTTGAAAGATTTCTGAACCAATCTTTCCCATTGTGTGATTTCATCCCTGTTACTCCAAAGAGGACAAAGTTCACTGCTGGTTCCCTAAAAGAGAACTCAGAAATCCAGATGGACATTCCAGAAAGAGAAAACACACATTCCTCCTCTGCTTCACATATGGATGCATCTGCAGAATACTTTGACTCAGTTGTTCTTGACCTTGACTCCACTTGGGGCTCCTTGAGGAGAAGGTGAAAATCCCAGTGTGCAGAACAACTGCAGGAGAGTTGGAACAGGTCTCGGGATGGTGTGCAGGTATCAGTACTTTTTCGTATTTTCCATATTAAAAGAGAGTTCATAAGACTGATGGAACAGACTCTTTACGGCAATGAGAAACCAAGTTATAAACAAGACCTAAGACCTTGCCAGACAAGGGTTAAGTCACACACCCCTATGCTTAAAGAATAAACTATGTTCTAACTGCCACAAGGTTTTTTCTTTCTCCTTGGCAGCTAAACCAGTACTGGTTTAGCTAAAGAACATTGAAACAATTGCAGCTCACTGGTCACCAGATGCTGACTAACTGACCGCTGTTCCACAAGCCGTAACTACAGTACGGATTGCACAAGAGACTGATTTCAGTAACTTTCTCCTAAGAGACCACCAACGACGGGTGGGTTCTGGCTAGTTTACAGAGGCTGCACACTGAGTGTCTTCGTGTCCCTGTTTCACCTTTTGATATACAGGGGCTAATTCTAATGTATTTAAATTGTTAAGTCTCCACCCCAAAGTGAACACGGAATGCATGTAACTTGCATGTTTGCTTACTATGCATCGTGCAACCCCCTTGGTGAATATTCATAGCTCTTCCTATAACCTATGGAACATGTGTACTTGGTCAACTTGTTGGGCCTAAATCTCAACCTCTCCCTTTTTTTCCTCTAAAATGCCTGCTTTTGGTCTCTTCTGGAGGCTTTGCATCCCAGTCTGTCAGGGTAGCCACTCTGTAGGTTGCACTTCTTTAGAAGAAATAGTCTCCTCTCCAGATTTATGGAAACCTCGCGATTCTTCAGCTGACACCTGGATGGTGCAAGTATGCGGCGAACACAGAAAAGCGCTGCTCTAACTGAAACTGGGCAAACGTTTCCTGGGGCCTCCAAAAAGACGTACAAAATGAATTGATTGATAAAGAGACTTCCGAGTGGAAGTGATCCTGGAGTCATCCAATGGTTCACGACCATCCTTCCTTAAATGCCCATATGGGGTGGACAGACTTTTGCCCGAGTACTAAGATTGTCTTCAAATTCATACCAAGCCTCTAAACAAATATTATTGATACAAAGAGGTTAATCTAACATAAAGGAGGTTGTTAGACATAAATTTATAAATTCCTAAGATCAGAAATTTCCTCTTTCCCAAGTATAGAGTAACAGTTTAGTCTGTCAGGGCAAAAGTGAGACATTACCAGGAATTTTTACTACAGTTACATGGATACATCAAGAAGATTAAATTTCATGATCTGGAAAGGGGAAATTAATAGAACTATGCCAAGGTATTGAAAAAAAATGTTGCAGAATCAGTGGCTCCACAGGAATTGGAAGGAGGAAAAGAGTGGAAAGAATAGATGCCTGGAAACACCTGGACCCACTCAGGAGCCCGAACCCACCTAAACAATAATGTCTGGGCCAGGGGGAGGAGGGGGAATGATAAAGGAATTATTCCCCTATGAAAATAACAATAATCATCATGTACATACATAATCTCTAATCATAAAGACAGCCCCAAAGATCATCATCATTATCCCCATTATACAGATGAAGAAACTGAGCCCTGACACCATGTCATGTATTTCACAACGCAGCTCAACCAGAATGTGCGGGAGTGGAGTTTCTAAAGCAAATATGGTGGATTCACTCTTCCCCCGGAAACACAGTCTGAGGGCCTAAAATTCCTTTCATTATCCCAAGACGGGGCTCAAAGGGACTCCTGTAAAGTCTCGGCATGGGAGAAATACGGTGAAGACAGACAGCACTAAGTCACGGTGACCAAAACCAAGCCAAGACCCATGCATGGCCCTGTATGAGGAGACCAGGTTTCTTGGCACCTGCAAACACCACCTTGAGCTGCATCTCAGCACCACACACTGTTTGAGCTGCTCCCGTTTTATCTTCCGGTGATTTCCCCAATCCGCATCTGTTCACCCACCCCAAAGACATTTCCACCGTGAAGAGCCCATGCATGTGTCCCTCTTAGCTTCCTATCATGACCGGGTGGAAACACCAATGACTTTGGAGCCAGACAAGCCTGGGTTTGAGTGTTTGCTTTTCAGCTCACCCTCTGTGGGACCCTGAGCAGGAGTCCTCAGCCCATCTGAGTCCTCGTTCATCAGCGTGGGCCCAATTCCCATCTCTGAGGACTGTTTTCAAGGACCCGAGTGGTATTTCCCACGCCGTGGAAAAAGAACCACAGATGATATGTGGAATGATTTTGGGCGATGCTGGACACAGTATTTTATAGCCTCTATCTGGGCATCAGAAAGACGTTACCCTTTTGAGTCACTTTAAACACTTTTGATCACATCAAGGAAAAATTCTCAGGTTAGAGATTGACCTTAGCACGCCTCTATCTCTGGCTAATCACCGTTTGTGACAAGGAGGTGTTGAGCAGTGGGCCCAGAAACTCGACCAGCAACGACACGCAGCTAGAATGCCCTAACATATCCCTCCGTATCCTTCTACGCACACTTACTTCCAACTTCTACGTCTAGTGAGTGATACTCCATTATTTAAAGACTTGATATAAAATGTCCATCTTCCAGTGAATACATGTATTTACAGAAACAATATTGTCACTAAAATAAAATTCGAAATAAATCAACAAGAGCTATTGTCGACATAGAGCCCAATCACGAATGTGGAATGCAGATTTTTAAATACTGACAACACTTGATTAGAGGAAGTGTATTCGAAGCCACCAGACTCTGACACACATGAGCAAGCAGTGAAGACAAGCTGATGTTTTTATGTCCAGCCTTATTACCTTACCCACATTCCTCTCTCTCAATCCACCCGTCACTAATCCCAATGTGTCGGTTCAAGAAACTTACCAAAGCAGAGGAGGGAAAGGAATGTGGGGACCAAAGTGGCCCTGCAGCCTGTTCTAAGGACCTTCATTTCTGCCGCCACAGGAGGGAGGGCAGCTCAATGTGAGCAGTGACTTCTTTACAGCTTCCTTTCCCATCCTTCCTCTCACGTGACCCAGAGCTTTTACGACACAGCACAGTCACGCAATGAGAACCATGCAGGGTGACATAGACAGCCTCATAAACACTTCTCTTGTGGACAGCCTTTATCGGAACACAGATGTATTCAGTTTCCAATCTGTGGGAAGCCCCAGATTCTTCTTCCTTTTTAGACGAAATCTTGCCACCTTCTGGGTAGGCAGTGAACTTCCCTGTACTGCTTAAATATGAGTATTACGTGGTACGTATTTATATATTATATATGCCCCCATCCTATGGCACCTGGCCAACCCCACTAATGTATCTGCCCCCGGGAAGGAGAGAACAAGTCTTCACCCACAAGACGAAAGGGGTATGCGGGGAGTTAGCTACGTTCCCAGCAAAAAATTGGGTCCCTTAGGTAGGGGTCGTCACAAAGGATAAGAAAATAACAGAAAATGGAAAATAATGGAAATAAAAGAATACACAGAGACGAAGGTATAGTTTTATAGATTTATAAAGATAAAAGGTAAAAAGTGGGATACTCAGGGGTCCCTATGATATCCCCGTGAATCACAGGGCCCAGAATAAAGTTTCACATGGGCGTTTATAGGTACAGAGATAGGTT